CCACCTGCTACCTGACCACCGCATTGCATAATGAGAAAACATAAAAAGAGAAAAACAGGACGTTAAGAACAAACGCTTTAAAAACTCATTAATGCTAAATTTGCGGCACACTCGCCGGCTGCTGTCTTAATTATATGACTTGCAAATTTATAGCCCTCAAGTTTCTGGACTTTATGTATTTGTTTATTGGTGTGTATACATGTGTTTACATATAAGTATATATAAATATTCCATTCATGACACATTCAACAATAACTTTTGCATATCCACTGAGTTTCATCGAGATCTTATCAGATATCTTTACCAGAGTTATATCTGTGCTCTGTTTCTAATATTCCTTTCACGATTTTTTTATTGACTGCTTTGGTCTTTGAGCCACAGATTCCTAAACTCCTGCAAAGTTATGCGATTCCCAACTTGCGTTCAAATCTTTTAAGGTCAAAGTTTTTAAATGTTTTTTGCTAAGTTTTAAGTGAAAATAATATTACGAAATTTGCATTTGATTTCAATTGATTTAAACTTAATCTATAAGCAAGATCGAAAGTTTATTATTTATATGTATTATGCACTGATGTGCGCTAATAGCTTTTATAATAGTTTCATTATATATACATTTTATAGCTATAATTATTTAGTTTATAAATTATTAGCTTATCAAATAAATTATAAAGTAAGCAATAATTATTATTGATCGTTTGTTTGTAAAATTTATTAGCAGAGATTAGTAATTAGAAAACTTGGACAAAAGCCATAATTGTTCATAAAAAAGCTACTTGAATATTTAGTATTATTTGTATACATATATATATAGCTATTTTTTTTCTCCTCATGTTAAACAGTTATTCTCCAATCCGGTGTTGAGCAACACCTTTTTGTATCTTGTATCTTCTGGGGCATTTGCATTCACATTTGCTCGACGCCATCCGCTGCTCAAGGTCAGGCAAAATGTTAATGCTAATTAGGTAAAATTGTAAACAAAACCAGTTGCCAGTGTTTTTTTAATTACAAAATGATGCATGGCGATGCCTCAATGACATTGAAGTGAGTATTTTATGAGTAGTTGCTGAGACCTCATGAGTAGCTGATGAGTAGTAGCTGCTGTTGCTGTGTGTATGCGTGTGGGCTTGGTTGCCTGCAGCTGCAGTTGCACACATATACAATATGTTACCCATACGCCGTGTGGTCACAAAGTTCAGCTCGAAGTTGCAATTGGACCACTGCGGCAGAGCTTTTGTGCCACTTTTTCAGTTTCAGTTCTTAGCCATAACTCGCAGAGCGCTGCGAAGCCCCAGAAACTCTGCCTCTGTTTGTCTTCCGCAAACAGATTTTGAACTCGACTGCACTGCGAGAAATTCTATTAGCACTTGTGTGCTTTACATGACTGCTTGGCTCTTTGTGGGCAGGCGTGTAATGCGGAAATGGGCATATATCGGCTGCTATATATAAGCATCGCATATATTTATATCTCTCGATACATATTTGCATATTGTGGGGGCGTGTAAACTGTGCCAGCTGCTTGATTGGAATTGCAGCTGGTTCCCTAGCTCTGGCAGTTGCAAAATCTGCTGCACTTGTCGCCTTAGGGCTTCAACTTAATTAATTGCCAATTAACATATATGCAAGTGTGTGCCTCTGGCTGTGTTTGTGTGCGTGGGTGTTTGTAACAATAGTAATTGTGCTAATGCATGTGGCTGACCTGTGTTAGAGCGCAAATGAGGCTAATCAAACTAGCCATGTCAGCAAAAGTTACATTAAGCTGCAGTCTGGTCTATTGAAATACCCTGTAATTTATTTGGTGTAGTATCTTGGCTTAATTATTCCATATAAATAATATTCATATTTATCAAAAAATATCTTATCAATATTCAATAATTAGTTTAATATAATATTTTGCGGAAGCCTTGCGAAGCTTTCACTCGATGGGTGCTCTGGATTTCTCATAACTGCTGCTTGGGGTAGTTTGCCTTTGCCTTGTCAGGATTACGGGCCGTGTGACAGGCTGATGCAGTTGACCAGTTAGCCAGTTGGCAGCAGCTGCAGCCACAGCAGCCTCAGTTCACAGCTATCAGATGGCTAAAGATGCAGCCGCAGCCGCAGACGGAATAGCGAACCACCGCAGATCTCCCCCCATCTCGGACAGATCTTGGCTGGCGTCTAGCGTATTAGCAACCCATTTTAGAGTGGGAGTTGGCGTTTGGGCAAAGAGTAGAAGAGGGGGTGGTTGGGGGTACGCTGCATTGCCAGCTTTGAGCGGATTTGTTTAAAGCCGCAGCGATGCAGAAAGTTGTGCTGCTTTTCTTTTTATATATTTATATATATATGTGTATATATTTTTTTTGCGCGCGCGCGCGTTTGCTGGCGAGATATTATGCGGCGATATTAATTGACAAATGAGATTTTTCCTTCCTACTCGACAGCGACAGGGGAACTTTCATTTTGACCACAAGCGTCTCGTTGTCAGCCCGGCTCAAACTCAAACTCCAACTCCAGCTCCAGCTTAAGCTCAAGCCGCAGCTGAGTTCCACAAATGCAGGCCAAGGCAATATGCATACGTGGCTGGCCAATGTGCTTGGAGCCGGGTCTCAGATGGCTGCTGTTTGGGTTGACGCCAACTGTCTGGCGCTATCAAACGCGCCGCGAACTCTTGTCACGTTACTTACTGCCATAAATGCGGTTGCCTAGGTTAACAAACGTCTTTTGCTGCTGCAGCACCCACCGAAAACCACCCACCCCCTACGCTCAGACCCGACCACAGACCACAGTCAGTCGCCCAGTCTTCTTGACGGGCCGCTGAACTGTTAAATGTCAGGCCGCGATAGCAGCCGGCAGATTGATGAACGCTGTCATGGCACATATATGTGGCCATAGGCGAAATGCGAAAGAAGAATGTGAAATGCAAAAGATATCGATAGACGATAGATGGATGGCTTTCAATATGTTATTGAGATACTCTTTGAATATAAGTGGAAAGTTCTAGTATATAAACTGTATATAAAGCCACCATCTATAAATAGATAGTATTTTGAATGTACTTAAGGTATATTAAAGTATCTTTAAACTACATACATTCTCAGTAATTGGATCAGATAAGATCAGTAGATCATAAAATTCAAATCATAAAAATCTACATTAACTTATCCTCTATAAATAGTATTTTAAATATACTAAAGATATCTCAAGTTGCCCCAAGCTACTCTGAGTTATAATCTCCTAGCCATTTGATTAGATGGTAGCACTATATCAAAAGCTATAGAAGCAATGGGTAACAAATTTCGTTCATATCAAATAACTCTTGGACACTGTCTAATAGATTATTCATATATTTGCTTTCTGGCTAAACAAATTGGTTTATGGGTGTCAGGCTTTATTAATGTCTGCATTTGGCGCCATACTTCACAGGGAAGTCGTAGCGCTCTGTAGCCTCTATATTTACTCTATAGTCTCCAAGATTCTACGTCAGTGGCAGGCAAATTGCGAACCTTTCTATGGGCTTGTGGGTGTGCCCCGGTATGGACACTCGCCGTCAGTTTTAGTTGCTGTGCGGCGCTGTCAATCAATGTCAATTCTATAAAAACAACAACAGCAACAGCAGCAGCAGCAGCAGCAGCGGCAACAGCAACAGCAACAGCAACAGCAATTGGCAGTCAGTCAATCATTCAGTCAGTCAGTCAGTCGCTCAGTCAGTCAGCCAAGATCGTGGCTTACGTTTTATATATTGGTTTGCCTTGGCTTTTTGAAAGTTGCAGCGCAGAGCTCTAGCTGTGGCTGTGGCTGTGGCTGTGGCGCGTTGGTGGCCACGTCAAGAACTTGTACATGTTGCATATTAATATTGTTGTTTGTGGCAAGGCGCTTGACTAATTTCCTACGTTTGTTTGCTTCTCTACTCCCCCACGTTTAGTACGGACTGCGTCAACTGGATCTCTCACTGCTGTCACAATTGTGGGCGCTAAACGATTCCATACAGGAGTTTCGCACGATGATCGAGGAGCAGGAGGGCGAGGACGACGACGACGATGAGGAGGAGGATGCGGATGCGGAAGCGGATGATGATGTTGAGCTGGATGAACAGGGCAATCGCAGGCATTCACCGACGCCCTCTTCGTACGATTCGGTTAGCTCGGAAGGCGGCGCCGATGCGGATCTTGTCAAGGCGAAGCGTCTGGGCACCATACCAAAGGTCATAACGACGCAGCCAAAGCAGCTCCAGCCGAAGGGTGATCTGAAGCCCTTGCCACGAATGCGCAGCGCACCGCCGCCACCACCGCCCGTGGCGCTGATGTGCACCGCGCGCAAGGCGGCGGCACCGCCACGGCCCACATGATGTTACCTAACCGACTTCCTAGCCGGAGTCAGGATGGTCATGTGCAAGGCGATTGTGAGCGATGTGCCGCCCCCACCAACGCCGACGGCGACGTCGACGTCGACGTCCGCTGCATTGGGTAGCACTTGAGCTGGTTGAGCCGAAGTTGGAGCAGCACTTGGCAAGGGCATTTGGAAGTCGGCTAACGAATATTGTTAACATGCACCATCCCTACTTAGCTTACACAAACGACAAACGATATACGATCAACGATAAACGTTTATCGATAGATCGATAGGGATAACATTAATGCATATATATACATATATCTCTATATAGTCCTAAGCCGCATAGCCTTTAAGTTTAGCAGTCCTTTGTGTGATCTTCAGTTGTAAGTTTTATTGTACATTGCGTGTTTTTATTTGTATTTGAGTTTACTTTTGATTTTCGTTTGTTGGCCCAGGCTCTGCGACATAATTTAGGGCTACTTATTTGGGGTTTATTGAACTGGGGTTCACCTAAAACATATTTAACACCTGCAACTTGATTGTCTTGAAAAATAAAATATATATATTTTTTGTCTTACGATTGAAACTAACTTGATGCAGAACCGCAATATAACTTCATATATATATATCATAAGAACTATGAGCAGAAAAGTGCTTTAGACTTAAGTTAGGAACTGCACTACTTGTATATGTATATAGCCTCTCACTAAAACGAATCCTGCGCTAAACAAATATTTGGCTTTTTCTCCTGCTGCTGCAATTTTAAGCAAAAATAAAGAATATCAAAACGAAGTTTGTAACCCTCTCGGCATTTATTTAACGTCTTTAAACAGCACAATGCTTTAGGCAAAACTCAAGCCATCCGTGCCCAGTTTGAGGCATGGGAAATCAAAGGCCAGCAGTTGGTTATCTGAGAAGCTGCTGTAGAAACTGGGGCACATGTTGATGTTTGACAGGCCCGACAGCTTCGTGCTCATCTTCAGGCAAATGGCCATCGGCGTTAGGTCTGATATTACGGGCACACAGAAAGTGGGCGTAGTTTTGGAGTCCAGCGTAAACTTGGACACTTGCTCATTATCCAGCGTAACAGTCACATCAACAGAGGCTTTAAATATGTTTATTTTGAATGACATGCAAACTGCGAACAAGTTTACAAAATTATTAATATGGAAATTAATTTACTGGCTCCAACATACGTGTCTTATTTAGACTCATGACCTTAAAAACTGCGCCCACGCAGCACTTGCAGGTCATGGTCAGCGAGCACTCGCATTGCGATGGAAAGGCGATGAGCTCCTGATCGTCACCATCGGCGGCCTGCACCAAGGCTGAGCTGTACAGGCTCGGCCAGATGACCAGCATGAAGCAAAGGAGAGGCCAGAGTCTGTCTAGAGTGAACTTTGAATTTAACATTAGTCTAATTTGAATTTGGATTTCGAAAACTGGATAAAGCTGCCACGGTGGGAGTCACTAAACTGATGCGAATATCGAGCGAGAATTTACTTTTTGTACATGCGAAAATCTAGTGCATTTAAGCTAATTGAAAGTAATCTAAGTTTTTAGTAATTAAATATAATTAATAAAACGGTTCATTAAATTCCCATAGTCGTCGTGCAGGTTCAAGGGTAATCAAGCGAATTTTTTCAATTTAAGAAAAGCCTAAAGGTAGGCAACAATAAGTGGAGAAAAGTTTAGCTTGTGCTATGGAATACCACTAAAGTATGCCATGGTCTGCGTAATTCTTATTCAGCCGAAGATGATTGCACTGCATACTTTTGATAAGTATTTATTGGGATTTATTTACTTCATTAATTCGAGAGAGAGAAAGAGAGAGAGAGAAAAGTTTGTATCGCATATCCGCATTGGGAGATTGCTAAAATATCCACGATATCTTGCGGATATATACTATATATATTATTTGTCGACTTTTGCATCATATTGAACTCAGGACTACCTCAACCTCAAATCAAAATAAACAAGCACTGCTACTAACAATAGCACTCAAAGCAAGTATTACAAAGTTAATATATTCTACATGGAAACACTTCCGTGTTATGCTGACATCACAAATAAAATAAAATTAATTATTTTACTTTTCAGTAAAAATTTGAATAATGTATATGATATTCCTGCAGCTATCAATTTACTGACTCATCCATTCAGGTAGTATTCGTCATTATTTGTAGCGGTATTCCCTTTTTCCATTCCTTTACAGATGCACATGTTTTTGTATAATCCCAGATTTACAAATAACATTTTTACGCTGAAAGAACTCCAAGGTGAACGTGTCATGTACGAGTCTGGTATAGAAATAGAAACTGGCCGAAAAGATAGACTATATTAACTCAATTTGTTTTTGTCATAATATAACTAACCAGTTTCATTCGACTTATCTCAATAAATTTTCGTTGGCTATTAATTTACTTAAAATCGAGAGTGCATATATATATATGTATATATGTATAAATACATACATAAATATATTTAGCTATTAAATCAATAATGATATATGCTATATATAATGCTAAAAAAAATTCCAAATAAGATTAGGAATACAACCAAAAAATGGAACAAGCACGAAGCGATGTCGTTCAGCGAAATTGGCGAAAGATCCAAGAAGTTGCGAGGGAAGTTGAGAATGAAATTAGAATATAAATTTTTATCGATAGTAAGAAATGGCATAACAAAATGTGAAAATATCGAATTGCGAAGGGTATACAGGTACATTTCTTTTAGATTTAAAATATATTATGTTTTTATGGCTAGGGATATCTCTATATGGACAGACAATATCAAGAATATAGCGGCTATATATATATATATATATATTCCGTCGTTTCTGCCACGCCTCTTTTTGCCATTACTATTTTTCATGAGCTCAGACTATACTGAGTATTATAAACTCCCCCATAAAACACAGATACTCTATGATATACCATATATTTTCCGTCTTGTTGCTTCTTTTCATACAAAGCTAGTCAGTTTATAAGATTTCTTCCATTCAAAGCGATGTCAAACCAATAAAAATTAATATGCTAAAATGCAAAATTGGAAAAATTGAATATGAATATTTGGTGACGCCCTGCTTTAGCATGTTTGGCAAATCTTTGATGTTTGCTTGTGCGAAAATTCAGTTTTAGTTGAATTTTGGAACTGAAGTGTGCATCAACATGACAGCGGCTAGATTGGTAAACTATATTCCAGCAAACAAAACTGTATCTTTAGCTGATGTCTATTAATTGTTTTACAGATTCTTTTCTATGCTGTGGTGGCTGTGCTGGCAGCCAGCTGCTCAGCTGGCTTATTGAATCAGTTTATTTCCACTATAACAGCCAAGTATTACTCCCAAATGTCGACCAAGGAGAGTTATCGATTCGAGTAGGTCTCTTTACTTGATGCCAAGGCAATTGGTTCTTAACTGATGCTTTCTGTTCTTAAAGAGTGAAGGAGCCAAATGGCAACTCGCGCGAGGAAGTCGGAATTATAATGAATCCAGGCACACCCGACGAACAGTTGGTTGTGATGGGCAGCTATTCCACATACGATGAGAAAACTGATACGGAAACTATTACCATATACACAGCCGATAAGGGCGGCTACAAACCACACTTTGAACAAAGAAAGCGCGGCTTGATGAGAAGGACTCTCAAATCTCTCGCAAATGGCTAAGAGTTTAGTATGTGGGTTGAATTTACAAATGTGATGCATTTGAAATGATCTTTTTTATTTCATTTGAATACTTTTGTGTAAAAATAAATTATATTTGAGGTTGAAACATTTATCAAATAATACACATTTGGAGTCTCAGCCCTGGCCTAAATTTTGACACATTTCGTCATGTGAACATTAATTTTCACTTCAAAGCGAATTCTGGTGTGGATACTTCGCAGACGTGATTATGAATAACTTGGATGCACAATAGTTTCGATATTTCAAACTCATTTTATTTATCCATGGCGATCTGTTGACATTTACATGTGTGAAATCAACTCAATGGTGCAAAGATGACATTTTCGGATAATTTTGCATTATTTATTGTATCACCCACGTTGAGAGCATGTCCAAAATCTCGCCGACCCTGGATTCGCTAGAGTCCGCAAGACTAAAGCTATATAAAGCAAAAAAGCGCACCTATTGGTTAGGGATTTGCATAGAGATATTTCAGTAGCATAAGTGAGCGACCGGTTTCAGTTAATAGTAGCTACAGCGAAACAAATAAAAACAGTATAAGATATTAAGTATACGACGCATCACATAGTAGACGACGCCGACGCCTCGCTGAAATATTCTTTGCAGATCTCTGCTGGTCGATCGCCGCGCAATTCCATCTCAGTCTCGATTCGGAACTACACCGCGCATCAACATGACAGCTGCGAAATTGGTGAGTATTCGTTGGATACAAAGGCCGTCGGCCAAGGCAAGGGAGGAGCTTAGACACACTTGCTACTATTTGAATGGCATTCAAAGCATTCGCATTCGGCCTGAATGATTGTGATTAAAATGCTAAATGCTTGCAGCTGCTGTGCGGCAGGCGAGTGATTAGCTATAATTGCCTCATCAGCTGCAAGTCAATACGTAGTTCATTGTTTAATCATATCTTATAGATATTTGTTACTGCCCTGGTGGCTGTTTTGGCCACCAGCTGCTCAGCTGGTTTACTGGACTATGTGTTCCCCTCCATAGTTACGGAATTCTACCAGCAGGCGCCCACCAAGGAGGGTTATCGCTTCGAGTGAGTCCGTCTTTGATCAACCAAACCAATCGACATTCTATTGAATTGCTATCCATTCTTAGATTGAAGGATCCCAATGGTAGCAGTCGGGAGGAAATTGGTGTCATTATGAACCCAGACACACCCGAGGAACAGCTCGTTGTTATGGGTACCTACTCGACGTACGATGAGAAGACCGATACGGATACCATTACCATGTACACAGCTGATAAGGATGGCTATAAGACACGCTATCAGATTAAGAACCGTAAACTGAGCCCTGGATCTCTCAAGTCAGCAGCTGGTTAGGAATTTGTGCTTATTGCTAAGAACATAAATTAAAACAGGTGATAAAACAGAGCAAAAATTATATATTATTAAAATTATTATTGTCCATAATTTGGTTTCGTTTTCAAACTGGTTCTTGGCAACAAATTGTGGTTGGTCTTTGGTCAAGATCATGCCAAACTTCTTTAATTATCAGGATAGACAAGTTTCTATATATGTTATTACGCAAAGTGAATTGACATTTAAATTTCTGGTAGCTTACAAGATTCAATATCAAAATTAACACTTTGGCGTCTGCTGGCAGTGGACAATGAATCTTAAGCGAAGTTTAAGAATCGCTAAGCAACAGATCTGTGCATAATTTGCATTTTAATTTACAGGTTTGGGGGCTTTTACTAATTATTAGTCACGCTAATTGCCCCCTTGCCTGATGACAGATTATCTAAACTCACGAGTCGAACTGTGGCTAATGCAACTTTAAGTATGACGCTTGTCGCTTGCCTAAACAAATGTCATTGGGATTGCTTAACATTAAGCCTATGTTTGTATGTTTAATGTTAAAGTCATGGACACATGCCTTAATACCTAAAGAATATTGAGTTGTTCACAAGCCAAGCCATTGTTGCTGACCTCTACTCAAGGTGCTGCCCAATTGTTCTTTGTAGAACGCAAGAGTAATTACTGATTATTTGACAGTTTCCTTATATGTTGGGTGAATGGCTTAATATAAGCTCATGAATAATGGTTGTGTATTTAAAATATCGTCGAATAAACTGAATTATTAAATAATTATGGTTGAACAACTGGAGTTTTTGCTTTATTACCCACAAACAAAAATATATACAAAAATAAAAGATAATAAAAAATATTTAAACATCGCCGAAGGGGTACCTCGATTAAGATAAGTTAAAGCATTCGAAATATTTTAATTACTTGTTTTGAATACACAGCCTGGTGCGTAGTGACCTTCAGCTACGCACCAGGTTGTTGGTGCTAGTTCGGGGATTTTCGTAGTAAAGTCGAAATCCGGAATTCTTGTCTGCAAATTGATAGTTTCGCTGTTAGCACCTGTTAGCTAACCTGCTTGCTGCGTGCCATAGCAGGCAGCATTTGAGTGAGTGCAGCGACAGCTTTCTGTAACAGCGCTGTTAATTTTAACAGCAAAGCTTACATTAAACTTGCTGCAAGACGTTAACTTGTCATAAATGGAATTTGGTTTGAACTAAAGCTAGCACATCAATGGGGCCATAACAATGCCAAAGCTAGCGGCACTTTGTGTTCAACATAGCTGTAACAAAGCGCTAGAAATTAAAAGCTCAGAATTGTTTATTAGCTGTGAGTCGGCTTTGGCGCGCAATTGGCCCGCTTGATTGTTGCCACAGGTAACTGACCAGACACAAAGCGGCCCAAACAGAGAGCCGCGCAACGCAACCTGTGAGTAACCAAACAAACCAGCGTCAATGCGGCAGCCCGCGTATGTTTCCGATGCACTGTAACAAATGTTTGCAAATAATGCTAGGAGTAGTTTTTTATGAGAAAATTCTTTTAGCTATTATTTGTCAAACACACCAAACTTATAATTTTTATATTAAATATATAAAATATATCTTATAGCTTTATAATAATATTTGCAATAATTTGATAATACAAAATAATAAAATATATATATATATATATAATTTTTAACAATTTATTGATGATTAGATAGAGATACAAATTATTTATGTTCCCAAATCACTTTTTCGTTAAGTGTACATACTGTACATATTATTGGTACCCACACAACTGAAGCAACAAAACAAACAACCACCAGGGCAGAGCCAGAGTGCGCCCCTAAGTTTGGATTAGAACGTAATGCTCAGTTCCCGAACAACTTTCAGCGATGCGAGAACGCGACGCGAAAACTAAAATTCGAATCGGCTGCAATATCACTGATATTTAAAGCAGATTCCAACAATATATGTCAAATAAATAAAATAGTTCAAAATATGTTTACCAACTGCCTAAGTGTAAAAAGTGTTTAAAGTGCCTTTAAAAAAATATATATAGATTATATATAATAATAGATAAACAAAAAGTGAAATGAAATCAAAACTTACGCGTACTGTGTCAATTTTATTGTTTTTGTCCGTTTTACACGAGTGCAGGGGGCGCGGGGGCGTGGCAGCCGCTGGACAGTCGCTGATACAATTGAGTCACGGTAAGTTGAGCAACAAGCCAGGTGAAATTATACGCATTGTTCCGAGATGCCCGAGAGTGATTTACGGGTGTAAATATTTTTATTTATATATATAAAGTTTTTTTGAATTTGGTCACGGCTCGAGTTGACCCTTCAACTGTGGCACGGCTGGTAATTTGACCTTTGACTTCATGCGTCAGTGCCCGGAAAAATTTGCCCAGCCGAAATCTGGTAAATTTTGACGAAATATAGGACAATCAATATAATTCATGAGTAATTGCATAAATCACAAAGCCAACAATTGCTGCCAAATCCCAAACAGTTGCACACACAGACACAAAAAAAAGAGCCAACGAAAATAATGAAACAGGTGCACAAATATGCGTAAGAGCTAATTGCGCCGCCAACACGCACACAAATTGGTCAACGGTGCCACAAATATTTTTGGTGGCATGCCACCGAGCCGAGTGCTAATCGATAAATTTATTACCGTTGTCTAACTGGGCATTGTTGTGGTTAGTGCTCAGTCATCATCATTGAGGCCAGGCCATCATACTTAAGTCTGAGCTGCTTTAAACGTCCCCTCGATGGGGGAGGAGTACCTAGGGGCAGTGCACTCAGCATAATTTATCTGCAGCTGTTGCTGCTGCATTCCACGACAATTGATCAAACAAACTTGCCAATGCGCTATTAAAATAAGATACATAAACATAATGGCAGCGAGTGAATCCACCATCAACAAGCCCCGTTGCAAGTGGCGCAAGTGGCTCACGTTGGGTAGGTAACCGAATTTCATGATTTGTCGATAAATTGAACGACAAACTCTAGCTTATTGTGAGTGCTGAGTAAATATCTAGATACTCTGGTACTTTCTTGAAGATACTTTGGTATTATAGTATTCTTAGAATTCCTAACAAAATTATATTTGTTCAATTTTATAAAGTGACTTCAATTTCAATGAACTGCCATAATTTATTGCCACAATATCTTAATCGTTTGCCTCTTAATCATATCACAATTGATCCCTTATTAATCTTGTGTACCTTATTATTTCTGATATCGTTGGAATAATTAGCCTACTTATGCTAGACCTAGATCACCCCTTAATCATATAACAAGTTATGTTTTTATATCCTTATAATTCATATAATATCTTAACTATTTCCCACACCAACAACCATAAATGCAAATGCGACAGTTTAAATAAGTAAAAGTTGTCATTTATAATAAAAAATTATGTAGATTAAACAAATTTCCAGATGAATTAGCAATTAGGAATAATATATATCTCTAATATAATATACATCCATGCATGGCACAAGTTCCCTTGTCTGCGATTACAAAAAATAGTTCATCAAGTTTTTTGCACCCCAGCTAATTGCTATAGTAACTAAAAGTTCAAGAAACTGTTTAATAACAGGCGCCGATTCGCGAATAAACAACTTCAAGAAGTAAAATAAAAGTGGAAAGTGGGAAAATAACAGAAAACAATTTAAAAGTTGGCGCAGCCATTCAATTAATTGGACACGCTACTTTCAGACGATGATCTAGATGATAACTACTCGGAAATTAAGGATGAGGTGCACTTGGAGGATTTCTTTTGGACTGGCTCGGGCGACGGTCCGCCCGACTACCTGAAGAAGGTGCACACGGGCATTAGCAAGGGCAAGGATGTGATAGTCAAGACGGAGACTGTGGTGGCCACCGTCTACGTGGATGGCAACAATGTAAGTCGGGTCAGAAGTCAAACTGCAGCTGGAGTAACTCCATTTCTTTTGAAGGAAATCGAGATACCCATTTGCTTGGACTGCAAGCCGGACGATGGTGGCGGCAATTGGGATTTGGGCACACCTGGCGTGCCTCCATTCAACTACACCTCCACGGATCGCCGTTACTGGCTGCTGACTGTGATGTCTGGCTTCTACACGGCCAAGGATAATCCCATGCTCGAGGAAAGGCTAGCGCGTTTATATCGCTTGGCTTTCACCAGGT